TTATATAATTAACCTCCCTATGGTTCGATCCCGTCTTGCCGGATTATTTATTACTTTAATGCTTTTGCACTTAGAAAAAGACATCAATTTTTTGGTCATGTCACCCGCTATTAGAATAGTCCAAACTTGGGCCTATCAGATGACATGTCATCTCATTTGTTTTCCAAAACGAAGACATCAATTTTTTGATCATGTCACCAGCTATTAGAATAGTCCAAACTTGGGCCAATCAGATGACGTGTCATCTCATTTGTTTTTCAAAAAATCTCATTTGTTTTCCAAAACAATATGGATGGATAACAAGTTATTTATCCTAATTACAACTATAATAGTCATGCAGGTCTGCTAGGGAATGCCCACGCGTCAGCCTTGAAGAAATGTGTTAAGGGGGCTGGCATGACTTGCAAAGCCCAACAATGCCTGACTTGTGCTTCTTCTTCTTCTTCTTTTTAATGCCTGACTTGTGCTTCTTCTTCTTCTTTTTTTTTTCTCTCTCTAAATTACTTTTTTTTAATTATTTTTATATGGTTTTATTCCTCAAAATGCCTTTTTATTTATGTTTAGATTAATATATATTCTCTCTTTTATTTTGTTTAGAGAACTTATTTTAAATGACATTTTTTTTTGTTATGTAGTTAAATTTTGAAGAGTTTTTCTGATTTATCTATAATATTTTTTTATATCTTGTATATATGAATTGTATATTTGAAAATAAAAAAATTATTTTCAGATAATATTTCTAATATGTGTAGCCTTGTATAATATTTTTTTCTTTTATTTTATTTAATTAATTTAATATGTGTCTCTATTTTTATTATTGTTTGCTTAAATAAAAAATTATTTTAATAAATAAACTTAGCAAACATAACTGGGTAAATATCTTGACCTATAAAGTTAAATATCTTGATTTACATTTATTTTTTATTTTTTTTATTATTACTTTTAGTTATTGTTTATGGTTTTCTTTTTTATTTATTGATACACATAATTTTTAATTTATCTAATTACATATATGAATAAATTTTTTTATTTTCACTTAAAATTTTTTTAACTACAAAAATATATTAAAAAACCTATTTATTTAATTTTTTTATTTGAAAAAAATATTTGATTAGAGGAGAATACGGTAAAGTATTTATTCAAGAGGTATTTGAAATTGTGATTATGATTGTTTTTTAAAGTATTTTTTATTTAAAAATATATTAAAATATCTTTTTTATTTTTTAACAAAATATTTCTAATATCATCACATCAAAATAATCTAAAAATATAAAAAACTATCAATTTAAAATACAAATAAAATAATAATTATTTTTTAAAATACTTTTAAAACTTAAAAACAATTTAAAAAAAAAAACGCATCACATTCTCTAAGTACTCTAAAAAATGTGTACATCATGAACCGAACCTACACGAGGTAGATCACCAAATTTCAATGTCATCACTTTAATCACTCAACCATGTAAGCAATTGTTCATCGTTCCTGCTCAAAATGGTCATCAGTTTCTTCTTGTTTCATATTTTTGTTCTTTTTTTTGAATTTTGTCCATCATTTATCAATTTTGACAAATTATTCATCAAGCTGAGTATAAAAGATTCCAATTAAAAAAAAAAAGAGAATAAAATTAAAATATAATTCTCATGGCAGTGTTCAATGCTACAATAGATTTCTAAGCTTTTAGTTATAATCTTGAAACCCCGTCCCGCAGCAGTTCAACCCAAGAATTTTTTATTTTTTTGGAACAGCTGCACAAGCAGGGTCGTTATTAGCTTCCATCCGCACATTGGCTTTGCTCTACAATTTGTAAAAGTTGTGTACTGAATCCATTGGAGTGTTAAAACATCTTAGGAATTCTAGAATCAGAACGCCAATCTGTCATTTTTAGGAGTTGACCGCTGGATCGAGTTTAAAAACCATGGTTGTAAGGTAATTTCAACTCTTCATGAATACTGCCATCCACCATGTAAAGGTCTCTGTTTCCACAACATCGAAACAATAAAGCATACGGATACTATTATGAATAAAAAAATATAGGATAAAACCCTGGAGGATAAAATCTTTTCTATTGAAGAAACGACGTCGTTTTAAGCACCCCAATCGCTAATACCTAATATCTCCTCCTCAGTTCAGTTCTACTGAGACGGACCCTTCTTTCTTCTTTGATTTTGTTCTACAAGTTGTGTTGCCGGCGCATCCTGATTTCCTCCCCTCTTTCTTCTTCGAAAATCACAATTGAAAATACAAACGCACACTGATTGCTTTGCCAAGCCCAGGTACCAAGGACAATCCTTGAAGAAGATTTTCTTCTTCTTCTTGCATAGCCGAGGGTACTACTGCTAGCCAAGCCTTTTCTTTTAATCTCTTCCTATTCATTAGCTGGGCAATTACTAATTGTTTTGCTTGTTCTGAATCTATATATATATAGAGTGAAATTATTTGAAAGTTGGGAATGTTTATAACATTGAAATTTGAAAGTAGACTCGGTCTCAGCACTTAGCACTATTATTTATATATTTAACTTGATCTTTGGTGATATGGGTTTTAACAGTTTTATAATTGGCAAGGTTATATGGAAATCCCATTTTCAACGGGGAAAATAGTGAACTAGAAAACGTTATATCGTTATGGACAGTATGATTGTAGTATTTAGCATCCAGTGGAGTTCTAAGGAATCATTTTGCGAGCTTTTTGTGTGCTCTTTCGACTTACATTGTTGACATGGTTTCAATCTCGGCTGAAATAGTTCATGTAAGAATAGTCCATTGGAAATTCTTGCAGCATGTGCTCTATCTTGCTGGTTTTGTCTTGGATTTCTAATAAGCTCATGCTTGGATTGTGATGCCTGCTGCATTTTCTTTGATCTTGTGCCTTATATTGGCAATTATATCATTATATTGCCAGCAAACTAGTTGAGTCATGTTTGCCTGCTAGGTTCTCTTGGTTTCATCAATTTCTTGACGGCCTCTTTTGTATGCTTCATAGGATTATTTTACAGCCTCTTCTGTTCTGTTTCTTGGTACATCATCTACTTTTGTGAGGCTTGTTGATTCATTTAGTTTTTTTTTTTTCCATGTCTAGTGTTTTCCTTGTTGGGGGACTCTTGCTCAAGTGTTGTTATGTCCTTTTAGGCTTCTTTTGTTTTTCTTTGCTCATGCTTGTGTTAGCATTTTGCTTATTCTGTTATTTGCGTGCTTCATTGTTGAATTTTAAAAATTTGAATGTCTGGGATATTGATTTAAGGATTTGGATGTTTGAAGACTTGTTTAAAATTTAGTTGTTTGATTTTAGGTACTATTCCTTCTTCTTCTTCTTTTTTTCCTTTTCAAGTTCTCACAAAGCATTAGGTGCTGGAAATGAAGGAAAATCCACAGTTTGTGCAGGGGCACTGAACCGACAGTGAACTGCCAGGTCAACCAGTGAATCGGTCACCTGGCCCCTTTGCCAGTTCACTGTCTGGTTTGCTTCCTATAACATTAGCTTCTAGCCTTAATCAAAACCCTCAGGCCTCAAGTAAAGGTCAGGGCAAGAGGGGGTTTCAGTTTTCAATTCTCTCACCTTTTGCTGCTGTTCTTGTTTTTAAGCTGTTTATAATTTTATTAAAAAAAGAAAGAAATTTTGTGTGGCCCAGAAATGTTGGATGAAAGCAAATTTGATGTTGATATGAAATTATGGGCACTTAGAATCCCTTGTCAGCTTTGCAAAGCCGCCACTCGCATTTTAAACGGGTACTACCACAACTACTCTTTCTTGTCTAACTTTTTTTCTTTTTTAATATCAAATTTTTTAATATTGGGTTTTTGTTGGTTGCAGATATTTGCTTGACAAGCCCAGAATCAAACCTATTACTGAAGATCCAACTTGCCAAAAGAATCGTTATATGATATTGTCTGATAGAGTTCAAAGTCATGGTAAGTTATTCACTGATTGATTTTAACTTATTTTTTATATTTTATTTTTATAAATGGTGAGTGTGCTTTACTTGCAATTGATGTCTTGCAGATTTGTCAGAGATATCACCTCAGAAGCTTGATGAATTGAAGAAATTATGTGAGATTCAAGTAATTCCTTATTCGTTGACACTCGGATATTCCTATTGGAGTGCAGGTCATTTCCTAATTGTTCATCTACTATTTCAGATTGAACTTGTTGTACAAATATTGGAAAAAAGAAAAAAAAAACAATTTGGTGTGTTTCAATGTCTATTGACAAATGGAAAGACTCACTGACTGGTGCTTATCTTTGATTCCAGATCATGTATTGAAGCAGATTCTGCCTCCTGGAGTGGAGGTGCCTTCATCTTTTGAAACAATAGGTAAGTATTCTGTTTTTGTTGTCATCCTTCCTTTTTTCAGCTTTCTAAACAAGCCTGAGTTGTTTGTATACTCTGTTAGCTGTTCAAGGTTGACATTGATTCCAAGACATTGTTACATGGTGGATTGTTAATGCTTAACATGAGGAACCTCACCAAAGATGAGTGAGTTACTATTTTTTATAATGCCTGCAGGTCAAATTGCCCATCTAAATATACATGATGAACTGCTTCCCTTCAAGGATGTTATTGCTAAGGTTATTTATGATGTAAGTTACTTCACGCATACTTCATCTTTCTTAACTTTGTTTTTCAAGGAGTAGTTGTTTTTCTTTAAACATAGATGATTTGCTATTTCTTCCTGAAATACTATTCAAAATGGTTCTTTTTATTTGACAATAACCATGTACAGCATGTGCCTTTTTATTTCAATTTTCTTAAAGCATCTTAAATGGAATTTAATCATTTTAGTTTCTGTTGGTTGTGTGGCTTTACTGTTTGGATGTCCTTTTTTTAACTGATAGTTTTGTCTGGATAATCCAAAACAATTGGTGTATATATTCTATCTACTGTGCAGAAAAATTATCCCAGGATAAAGACTGTTGTTAATAAAGTTGGAACTATCACAAATGAGTTTCGGGTGCCAAAGTTTGAAATTTTAGCAGGAGAAAGTGACATGGTCACGGAAGTGAAGCAATATGGGGCAACGTTTAAGCTTGATTACAGCTTGGTTTACTGGAATTCAAGATTGGAACATGAACACATAAGGTTGGTTTCTCAATTTCAACGAGGAGAGATCATCTGTGACATGTTTGCTGGGATTGGTCCTTTCGCTATTCCAGCAGCACAGAAAGGATGCATTGTTTATGCAAATGATTTGAACCCAGATAGCATTCGCTACTTGAAGATTAATGCAGAAATCAATAAGGTTGATGATTGCATTTGTGCATACAATATGGATGCTAGGAAATTTATTTCTCAACTTATGGAAGCACCAGTTTGTGAAAATAATGCAGAATGCAATGTTTCAATGCTTAAAGCATGTGAGGATTGCAGCGTACAGGAAAATGAGGAATCAAGGGTAGAAAATACAAGAATGGGAGGTATTATTTGTGTTGATTTATTTCCCCTCCTGTTTGTTGTTGCATGCAGTTCCATCTGTTACTTGTTTTGTCATGCAGTTGAAGCAGAGGAAGCACCCGTTACTGTTTCGGGTAACGTGGAGGGTGCACAAGATTTGAATAGAAATATACACACTTCTGTAGCTGCAACTAAAAGACCTTCGGATTGTTGCTTGGAAGGTATCATAAGCGCCAAATTCAGGGTTAATGCAAAACATGTTAGCATCTTGAATAATGGATTTAGGTGCATATATAACAATCTTGTCATTCATTTGGCTTGTATGACTAAACTCTTGTTCGTCTTTTGAGTAGAAAATGGAAGCATCAATGGTGATGGTGCAATGGATGCTCTTAGGAGAAAGGGAGGCAAAAAAAAGAGGATGAGAGCCTTGGAGCTTCCCAATACTAAGCCTTGGGAGCATGTTGATCATATAGTCATGAACCTTCCTGCTTCTGCCCTACATTTTCTTGGTACATGCAGTATTTTTCAGTCTTTTCTCTCCACCTATATTTCTGAGTGTTCAAATGTGATTCCAGATGTCTATTTTTTGGGATAGTGTTAATATGGCTAATAAATAATTTGGCTTGGGGGGGTGGGGATCATAATTGTTAACATAAAATAATTTTCTCCTTAGATGCATTCAAGGGGCGTATTCAGAGGAAGGATTGGAAAGGACCTCTTCCCTTGATTCACTGCTATTGTTTCATGCGAGCAAATCAAACCCAAGAATTGATAGTTTCGGTAAGCTTTTTTCTGCAGAGATATTTTGTTGTCTTCTTTTTTTGTTCTGAATTTTAACCTCTAATCATCATATTTCCTTCTGTATTTTAATCAAATTTGTGCATATATTCATCCTTTATGCAGGAGGCAGAGTCTGCCTTGAATACTCACATACATGAACCAATATTTCACAGGGTTAGGGATGTTGCTCCAAATAAGGTACCAATTATCATCCACCGTGAAATCAATTGCTTATTTATGAAAAGGTTTATAGCAGGAGTATGTGTTTTAGACAGGGAGACTTTACTCGTGTGCATAAGGGTGCTTTGTTATCTTTTTTATGACTTCTGATTAATCATGCAGGCCATGTTTTGCTTAAGCTTTAGGCTACCAGAAGCATGTTTCAAAGATAATGCCACTAACGTTTAGATTCTGCTGAGGGAGGGAGTTTTAGACACCATAAAATCTTTCCTGTCCATACACCACTCACGCCATCAGTTTCCTATAGATTTTGTTCCCTTTACAGGGTTGGCAGCAGAAACAAACTTCGCTTTGAGATGACCTCCAAGAAATCTGACCTGATAAATATATTTTCCGTTTTCTATTCAGTTTTGTCTGATCCATTGAGTTGGTGTATTTTCAGTTATGATCAAGACACCCATTTTTGGCAATGTTAGTATCAATGTCCTATTATCGTTTTGCTGTTATACTTGGGTCAAATTAGGTGGAAGCCAATCCATACTAGTTGGTAAATATGGGTAAGACAAGGCCAGCCAAACATGTTATGCTTCGCTCCATGTCGAACATGAAGGATTGCCACTTTCTGCCTGTTTATCTGAGATTGAAGAAACATAATATGCCGGAGGTATCATGCCGGCCATCCGCTTGGGAGTTGAATTAAGAAGCATGTATTGTACTAAGCTTTCTTGATAGCAACGGCAAATTATGTAATTACCGGTGTTATCTCTGAAACATCTATGTGCTTTTAAATTGAAACTTTTATTTGTGATTTTTTAAATTGAAACTTTTATTTGTGATTTACTTGAGATCTTGAAAACAATACGTAAAGCTGCAGGGGAAAAAACAAAAAAAAAACCCTGTGTCGGGTTCACTTTCCGTCTCTTATCGTCAAAATCGAAACTCTGAACGTGAATTTTTAGTTCCTGATGTCCATAAGTTATAGTCGAGAAAAGTGTAAGATTGGAAGCCAAAAGCTTAAGGTTATGATTCTAAAGCATTGCCTTTTAAAGATTGTACAATATTAATTACTAAGGATTTTGGGGAGAAATCCTAGGAGCTAAAATAGGTGTATATATACAAGAAAGACAACTCAATCAATCTTAGTTGTAAGGAGTTTATCACACAATACTCCCTCTCAAGTTAAAGAATGAAGAGTTGAAACTGCCACTTCGCTAAGGAGCAGCATAAATTAGTCATGACTTCAGGTTGATTGTAGAAGAAACATGAAAGGTAGCGATGTTTTGTGAATGGGTCTTCAAGACCACGCATCATTCAGATGGAACTATTGAAATGCACAAAGCTCAACTTGTTGTAAAAGGGATTTCATCAGCAATAATGCATTGATTTTAGCGAAACCTTCAGCCTTGTTTTCAATTCTCCAACTATTCGTATTATGCTTTCACTTACTTTCACTTATAATTGTTCTCTTCGACAACTTGATGTGCGTAATGCGTTTCTCCATGATCAGTTGCAAGAAGAAGTTTACGTTTAATAACCTCCTGGTTTTGCCAACCCAAGCAAACCAAATTATATATTTCATCTTCACAAAGTAATTTGTGGTCTCAAAGAAGCTCCAAGAGCTTGGTTCAATAGATTCAATTCTATACCAGTGGAATTTGGGTTCATTATTAGTAAGGTTCATTATTTTTCTGATAGATACAAAGTGGATGCATGTTTCTACTTCTCTGTATTGATGATATTTTCATTCCTGATAATGATGCAAAGGGTATTGAGAGTTTTATTCAGTACTCATCAACTCATTTTGAAATGAAAAACCTTGGTTCCTTAAATTTGTTTGGGAATAGAGATTTGGTTCATCGTGATTCTCAATCCATCACCATCACTCAAACAGAGTATGCTATAGAGATTTGGAGCATTCTTCTATGATTGGTGCACTATTAAAGCTAAATATCGAGCACTTCTTGTTGTTAAGCAGACTTATGCCGGAAACAATCTTTATTTTGTGATTTAGTTGTGTTCTGTTAGGAAAGTTTAGGATGGAAACAAATATGGAGTTGGTTTAGAGACGTGAAAACATTATCTTTAAGGTGTTTATTTATCCCACACAGAGATAACATCTCTAAGATACAACTAAGCCCTCTAAACTTTTAAAAGAATGAGAAGAGAAGACCAAGAGAAAAATATATGTATTTTGTTGTTATTTTTCTTTTTTGTTATAGTAATATGTTTTTATAGACTTGAAACATAACGATAAAACAATATGAATGTTCATCAAATAATATGACTGTTGATGAACCATTATAATTGTTCATCAAACAATATGACTATTGATGAAACATTATGGTTGTTTATCAAACAATATAATTGTTCATCAAATAATATGACTGTTGATGAACCATTATGATTGTTCATCAAACAATATGACTATTAATGAAATATTATGGTTGTTCATTAAACAATATGATTGTTCATGAAACAGTATAATTTTTCATGAAACAGTATAATTGTTCATATTAAGTTCCAAGTTTAAAGCTCCAAATGCTATCCTTTGATATTTTAAATATCCATATAATAATATTAGGAAACCAAATAGGAAAGTTTGTCTATCATGACTTAATTTACTACACAATAGAAATCCATACTTAGAAACATTAAGAGAAAATGTTTTTTTTAATGTGGAATAAACATCTTTTTTTTTATTCATTTATAAACTACACCAACATGTTCTACCATGTTTTGTGATAATATCAACACTACCTCTCTTGTTGCCAACTCAATACTGCATGTACCATTTTTTGCAAGAACATGTAACATGAGGAGCTCTTCATGTTCAGTTCATTTTTGTTTCATGGTTTCCAAACAAGCTCGACATGTCTTCCTGCTCATTCAGTTCGAGGGAGGGTGTCAATAGATATCGCTCCCACATATGCAGTCAAGAAGATTGTGCCAATAATGGAATAATCAAGAAAGGAAAGGAGCATCTCAGAATCCCTTAAAGCTAGCATTTTTCTTATTGTATCTGGTATCCTTTTTCTTTGGAACACACCATGGCCGCGCTGTGGGTCTTTTAGCTACTGTTCTTTTTAGATCATAAAAGACAGACAACTGTAACGTATTTAACCCATATATATATATATATTAGATCCATTGTAGTATAGTTCTTTAGTTAGTTTCATGCTCTTTTCTCATTTCTCTTCGCAGAAAAAAGAAAAGAGAAATAGATATGGTGGAAATCTTGATCATGAAGGAAAGTATTTTTTAATATAAAAAATGAATAAATTATATAATTAATTGTGGACACTACAGGATAAACTATAAGAAGCAAGTTATAGGAGGAGACTGAAAGAAAGGTAGATGAGCAAATTAACTTTAACTTGAAAGGCAAACCAAGAAAGCTTTCTGAATGAGAGTGAAACACGTAGCATTACGCTGGTTAGCATTTGGAGATTCCTTTCTATCCTCGTGATGGCGTTGCTCGCGCCATCGACCCTTCCACTAAAAGAAAGCAATGACGCCACTTTTGCCAAAAAAAAACAGACAATAAATACAAAAAGTCCTGTATTATATGCACATAAATGGCTTTCTTGATCACATCTTCTTCTGTGACACGGTATTCACATTATACTTTAAGGAATGTTTTATTGCAGATTAAGGAAGCTATTCAGTTCGATTTCTATTTTCATTTGAGTGCTTGGTGTATTTCTTTTTAGTGAGGAAAATTATTTCAGCCTAATCTGAAAATATCATAATAGTTATTTTTTAAAATATATTTTATAAAAAAATATTTTAAAATAAAACTTTTCAAATTTTATTACTAGCTCTTTCAACAAGGGAGAAAGGGTACAAATTCTTAATAAAAATCCTATACATTATGATCATTTGTTTGATAATTAAGATCTTCTCTTAAATAAACCTTGTTGTTATTTATTTTTTACTCCATGAAAAAATTAAGATAGAAAATAGAAAAATAAAATTCAAAAATACAAGTGGATATGCACAAAGAAAGCCTAGAAGATAGTCTAAGTTGATGATGAATGACCAAAATAATAAGTGAAAAAAGTTAGAGAACCAGAATATACAATATTAGCAAAATTGGTGATCTAATTTTGATTGACAAAAAATCTATTCGGTAAAAATATTTTTATTTATCGTAAATGAATACAAATTTAGATGAGTAAGGACTTAGTGAGGACTTTGAAAGGCTTAATTAATTTTATTAGGGACTTAAAAATCGATTTTTGGAGTCAGTTTAGGAGTGAATTGGAAGAAATTGAGGTTTGAGGACTAAAATTTAACTTTGAAAGGTTTAAATGGTTAAATCAAGGGCTTAAGTGTGAAAAAATTAAGATTTAATAGCCAATTAGAGGTTTTATTGAAGAAATTCAAAATGAAAGACTAAATCTTATAAAGTGCAATACTTCAAAAGCTAAAATTGATCAAATTATAAGCTAAATTGAAGCAAATTAAAAGTTTGATGGTCAATTAAGGGTTCAAATACACAAGTTAAAAACCAAAGACCAAGATGAAAATGACATTAAATTTCAGGGCTGATGATTAAGTTTGGCAAGGATAAAATTGCATAAAATTAAGAATTTGGAAGACAATTACAAGTACAATTAAAAGCAATTGAAAGAATAAAGACTGAAATGAAATCTATCAAGTCTCAAATTAAAAACCTTAATTTCTAGGGGTTTAATCTATACGACATGTCATTCACCAAACTTTCATCTCTTTCCTTATCAGTTTTGGATGATCAAGTTAACAAATTCTAGGAGCTCGTTATAGAGTTCTATATCTCTAAATGCACAAGGTTTTTTTTTTTTTATGGAATAAAAACATCCCTTTTACAACCTCATTTTCATAAAATTAGATGTTTACATCCCAATTCTTCTACAAAAATCTCCAATATCTTGTCTTTAGTCAGCAATTACTGTATTTTTAAATTTTAGATTGGTCAAGTTACTACCTTCAATCGAATGAATGCGAAGCTATAGTTCTCTAAATAAAGTAATGATAGATATAAATAAAAGATGTGCATCTCCTCTATGAAGTTTTTTCGGTGAAGCCTTGAAAGTGATCAACTCAATAAACTTTGATTGAGATACTCATATGTGCAAAACCACCTAACATTTTTGTGTGTTCACACTTAAAAACTCTAAAGAGTTTAAGTGATAAGGTTCCAGTTGTTAAAATCTAACTAGAACTCTCTTATTTTGATCAAATAACCGAGTTTTTATCAATCTTTAAAGGAATCCATAAAAAAAACCTAGAAAAACCCTCATGTGAAGGTTCAAAGACTTAACATAAAAGGTCTAGCAAGCTTTATAAAGAATATAAATTGAAAGGAAAAGAAAAAAAAAGTAATAGCTTATAGTTAGCAAACTTGAAAAAATGTATAACCATGTAAAAACTCAAGGACATAGTCCATATGGCATGCCCATTCATGCTTTTTCATTGATTAATGATGTTTTTTTTAATCTTTTTGGCATTATTTTATATTTTAGCATTTATTTGGATTGATGATTGAAAATGTCGTTTTAATTGATTAATCTTATTTTGAAGTTGTTGTTAATGTTGCTGGGATGTCTAAAAAGTATGTGTATTTAGTTTTGAAGAAGTATAGTAGTTTTGGAACTTG